TCTGTGTGTCTGTGTGTCCATGTTACCATGGTTACCAAGGTTGCCATGGTTACTAAGGTTACCAAGATTTCATATCAATCTATATATATAAAAATGAATGTAAGTCAGTGTGTGTGTGTGTGTGTGTGTGGGTCCATATTACCATGGCAACCATATCTGTATATAAAAAACAGTAAGCTGATTGACTGCTATCAACGCACAGCTCAAACCATTGGACGGATCTGGCTGAAATTTGGCATACGGATAGCTATTATAATATAGACGTGCGCTAAGAAAGGATTTGCCAAAATTCGCATTTTAAATAGGTGCTGAAACAGGGACATTGAGATTCACGATAGAAATTGGAAATTTTATTTTTATTTATTTATAGTTGCCATTGGTTACAGTCTACATTAGAAATTAGCATTTATTTATTGGTTGCCATTGGTTATTCGGGCAGATCAGGTACAAGCTTGCATCAAATCGAATTATTGAACAATGCTTACCAGGGTGGCAGAGTTGCACTTACCGCAGAAAATTACACCCAAAATTAGTTCAACAATCATAATTTTTTTAAGAGTTGCGATTTTTTACGAGCAACCAAATTTATTATATTAATCCACAGTATTACATCAAAATAAACTTGGTATAACTTTGATACTTTAGAGTTAAATCATACACTTACGTACAAACAGCACGGGGTCCGCGATCTACCGCAGGTAGATTGCCTACCTGATAATGTACTGCCGCGATTCAGAATTTTTATTCAGGGCAACGGGAAAGATAAGATAAATTTTGAACACCATACACGTTAATGAATTGAACAAAGTTTGAGTAGGTAGTATTGAGTTGATCCATTTAACGGGCGACGAAGTGCACGGGATCAGCTAGTATTATATAAAACATTATTATTTAAAAATATATACCTTTAATGTGAACATTGATTTTCTACTCTCATGATAAAAAATATTTTATTTTTCAGAAAACAAAACCATTCCAAAAAGTATATCGATGACAAATTCAAACAACTTTGTTTCGACGTATGTGTAATTAATCTGACAAGAGTAGACCCAGACATTTTTAAATCGTAAGTTTATCTTTATATTTAAATATGACTAGGAAGTTTTTGAGTATTTTCATCTGTAAAAAGATCAATAAAATGTTCACTGTAAATTACTTCTTCATTGGAATATCCTATTTAAAAGACCCAGTCCATCCACCAGAATAGATAATATATTGATCTAAGTTTTACTTCTGGTTCAATTGTTGGGTGTTAAGTTGTCTTGTCTCTTTTGTCCACTACAACAATTTTCTCAAACCACTCCTTATATCTGAAAGTATTTTTTTTTTAATTAAGAAATAATAATATATAATATAGTATTGTTCTGTATCATGAAACACATTTTTGGCTTACTCTGCTATTTTTTAAGCATGTCATAAAAAATATGCAAATGTTATAAAATCCCAACCCTGATTATGATGGTTGCTTATTGTTAAGACGAACATTTTAATTATACCATTATATCCCAAATAGAAGAATGGGTAGACTGCACATTCATTATATCCATTCAGCTTATCTATTAAGCATTTGTTTGGTTCAATTTTTGATCAATCCGTAACATTACCATTGAGTTAGATTTATATTTAATTAATACTTGAAATAAATAATTATATATAGCCCTTTTAGAATCGATGATTAAATACAAATAAATATGAATAATTATATGACGTTTAACACAAAATACTTATTTAAGTTTGTAATTTTGTCAATTCTCAGGAGCTTGGAAAAAACACCCAAGGAAGACGATAATACATCTAAACAAAATAATATATCAATAGACGAGGAGCCTGTTAAAAAAAAACAGAAGTTGGATACAAATGAAATAGATATTTTGAAATCGGAATTCAGAGAGGAAGGAACTCAATTTAAATCAAAAGTCAAGTCCTCATTAAGACCCAATAATGATATTGCTTCTACCAGTACTGAAGAGGTACCCATTATTGATTGCGCTACTGAATCTGCAAACTCTTCTAATGAAAATGCAAGACCTAAAATCTGGGTTAAGGATGATTCTGCATTGATAGATGAATCATATTTATGTATTAACAAAGTAAATGAAGCTAAACCACCTAAAATACACCTAAATTTTTTTAATGGGAAAAATCACGCAAAATGGAATTTAACTGAAATAGAAAAATTACATAATGAGTATTTTAACCAATCCGTACAAGTTAATATTCTGATTATTTCACATTTGCTAAATTTAATTTCAATGTCTAACGAATATCTCAAAACACAATTGGATAAATCTACTGAGAAAAAATCTACAGCTGAAAAAATTAAATATGAACGTGATGTCAGGAGATTATATGAGAGCAATCATAGAATTTTAGAAACGAAGGTGAAGATCGGATTTATAGCGATTACATCATCTTTTAAAGAATCGGAATTTTACTCAGCATTTATAATGTTTTTTCTAAATATACTAACTGTTCTTCGTGTTTTGGATCAGACAAAATTCGGTAATTATTGTCAAGAACTCTTTGAAATTGTTAAAAAATTGTTGCCGGAAAGTTTGACAAATGATGAATGTAACCATCCCAACATTTTTGCAACGTTCCAGTCAATAGCATTTTATTTTGATTGCATGAATGTACTAAGTGTAATTAATGATAGTCGGGATACTGACCCTGGAGTCACCGATCGCATGCCATTGTATTTTTTAAAGACCAAAACCAGCCTCAAATATTTTAAAGCAGTTATTAATGCTGTCACCAGTGATTATCACCAGGACGTAGACCTTACAATATTAATTGAGCATGCTGTTTTTCAATGTTATTATAGTTCAGAGATTATTGATAATGTGGTTTCATCAACTATACAGCATTCAAATAACAATATACCAGAGACAGAAACAAATCATCCCCAGTTCCTTTCTAAAAATCAAGACGGAACTTCCACGTAAGTTATTTAAAAAAAATCTAACAACTGTTATGAACTGTTTAGTTGCCATACAATATAAGAGTTAGACACAATTTTAGTATACTTAAGCCCCCTAAAGATATTTTGTATCCATACTGATTTTAGTTCCCCCCTCTCTACCCATTATCTGATTGTCATGGTCACCAATAACAATGTAACTATAGTATCTATATTTATTCAATTTATATTACCAGACATTTTGACAGTTTCTAGGATATTGATATGACGGAACCTAACAGCAAGAATATTATATCATTACTTTGTACTTGTAATAATTTTCTTACGATAGCAGGCAATATCCATTAGTACGTCGAGTATTATAGTAATGTTATTTTATTATGGTTATTTTTTTGCGTGGTTAAGTTCTTTGACTTAATGTCCTAAAGGATTACAAATTCTGGATGCTGATTTGCAAACACTCATGTTTGTATGTCTTGTATTTTTTTTTCAATGATATTAAATGTATCCCTGTTTCCCGGAGCTGCCTCCAAAAGTGAAAATCAAAATCACTATTTCAAATAATATTGTGGTTTAAAAATTATAAAATATTTATTTTTATTGCTAATGATTGAAAATTCAAAACAAATTTTCTCATAAGTAGTTCATACTGTAAAAAAAAATCTAAAAAAAATACAAGTGGTTAACCACTTTCTCCCTTATTTTTGGTCTGAATACACATTTTATGTCCGCTCTTGCAAAATATGGAAGAACGGAAACATTAACACAACACCAATATTTTCGTAAAAATCGATTTTGTTATTCTAAAAATATCATCTATAGGACTTTTTGCTACTACAGCTATTAGTACATCGTATTTAGTCATATTTGGTGACAATGCATTTTTCAAAATATTTAGACTAATTTTAAGTTATTTGTTCCATGAATATCTTCCCACCCGTAAAGGGTACACTGGAATTGACCTATAAGTTAATAACATCTAGTAATATTATATCTAATAATTATTATTTAATAAATATTTTATTATATAGTACCAATTATACCTAGATATACAATCTCCCCTGATTTATAGCTGTAATTAAAATATAAATCAAAGTTTCTAAGTCATATTATGTACTAGCTTCGGCTGTACACAGTGGCATGCTTACCTTTTTTGAAAAGGGGATATTAATTTTTGACTTGTCATAGGCCCGTGTGGTTGCTTCACCCCCCCCCACTCCCCCTTCCACTGAATTTATATTTTAATTTACATTATCTCCCTGAATAACTTAAAAAAAAAACATTTTAGTCTTCAACTTTAAACTTCACTTTATTTTAATTACATGAAACATTAATTAATTATCTAAATGAAAATTTCCAGCTTACTACCTCTAAAGCTTTCTTTCATGCATTAAAAGCTTCATATACTAATTTCCTTAAAGGTTGACTCCCCACGCCACCAGTTTTGGCAAATACAACACAATGTTTGCAGTAAACACCTTGATTTTTTTCAGAATAAGCAAGCCAATTATACTCAAGCAGACATTTATATTGGAATTTCAAACCTCTTTTCTCATTTATAATGCATAAAGGAAATTTATTTGTAGTCAGTGGTACCCATTCTTTAAGTAACGCCTAGATAGGTATTACAATATTTATAAAAAAATAATCACATTTTCTTTTCTTTAAAAAAAACCTTAAGACAATAGATAACTTACATAATATTTTTCATCGTTTCTTAAATCACGATTGACAAATATACCTATGTAATTTAGATGCTGCATGCTTTCAATCTAGTAAAGCAAAAATTATAAGCATGGCTCACCTATACTATTTTAAAGCTTTAGTGTCGAGTCGCAGTTGTTGTCAAACGCACTAGAGTATATGCATGTACTGTTGGACATATTTATTCTAATTAAAATTAGAATCCCAGTATTAATTGGTTCTGTTATATTTTTAAAGATATAACTGTGATAATTGTTAATAAGTCCCTAGTTATTGGCAATACCTTGGTAGAGTAGTCGATTGTAACGAGTCAGCTAGCTAGTTAACTAGTTTATACAAATCACACTCTTCTTTACTACAAAAGAACACTTCTAAAATGATACCGACTAAAAAATGTATTGTTATTACGATTTCCAACAGTCCTTTGGTGCAAGTAACATCATCATCGTCAATAACTTCAACATTAACATGTGGGACATTCCAACAAAAGATTCAGAATAAAAAAACCGTGGCAAACAGTGATCCTCATGGAGCTGTATGCAATACTATATTAATTGATAACAAACCGTATAAATTGGTTAAGGATCCAGGGCCATCAGGGCCGGTGGGAGCAGTTTTTATGCAAACTATACCCATTAGTCCTTTGGTGCAAGGAACAGCATCGTCGTCAAATAATTCAACATCAACAATAACAACATGTCAATCAGTTAATGGGCCATCAGATCAAATGAGAGCCACAGACAATGATACTTTTATATCACCACCAACTGTTATTATCAGAGTATGTAAAATTCATTAATATATAATTTTTTTATAAAAACTTAACACTACACATTTTTTTAACATTCAATAAATTAGATTGTGAATAGATAATTTTTAAAAATCTGTGTTATAAGTTAGAACGAAAGTTTAAATATTCAAGTGATCTTTATAACCTGTTAAAGGGCTATACTAAGTTTATAGTTTTAATTCATGTCTATGGTATTGTAAGATCCATGTTACAAGTACTAGTAACATACTTTAAATTGCATCCATTTTTTATTTATCAATATTTATATAATTAAATAGTGATGGATCTAAATTTAACAACCAAATTGTTTAAGGGGCCTCACTACCACATCTTTTTTTGTCAAAAACTATTGTTTCTAATTCCAACGATACATGTCGAAAATTATCACGATTTTCATTCTAAAAATATTCGGAACAATCGAGCCATATTTTTAATTTATGTAGTTTAAATTGCAATAAAAATTGAGAAAAATTCAAAAAAATCCAGAATTTTCAACTTAAATATTTAATTAACTAAATACAATTTTAAAAATGTGCCTCGATCGATCCCTCGTACATATTGTGGAAAAAAAGAATATTTTGTCCAAATACAAATCAAGGTATTCGTTGCGACGTATTGTTGGAATTATAATCGTATGTTTGAGTGAAAAAGAAACATTTTTTCATAATCACGATATCACATACTGACATGTACGTGAGAGTGCGTTCGAGAGCCCTCCGTACCGCTACAATTGACACGCATGGACGCCACACAAGACTAACCCATAGATCTCGGGTGGCGACTAGACAACGAGATTAGAAATTGCCTAAATGTTTCTCCTTAAATCAATGTCATAGTTAGGCCCCTTAAATAATTGATAAGTAACGAATGGCTTGGCCGGCTACCGTTATTGAATACTTTTGTAAAACCATATTTATGTACACATTTTGTCATTATTGATATATACATTTTAATAACTCAGAAACTGCTGGTTTGAATTTTAATTAGGAGATATTTTAGTTAATAAAAATGATAGAAAATTTAATATGTCAGAAATATTTTTTGTTTTTTTTTTAGTGCGACGAGAGACATTGCAACAAATCTGCAACAATAACTTGTAAATGTAGAAAGGTGAACTACTGTTCTCATAGCTGCAGAGTAAAAATATTTTAATATATATGTTAAATAACTATTGTTGTTATACATTGTTATTTATTACTATTGTATTTTTCTTCGTTTAGGAATGGCACTGGGTTGTTCATTATACTGACTGTGAAGAAAGGCTGACTCGACCCTAAACTTTCCATTACATAAATAAATAATTTTAATGTGATGTATTTATATGAAAAGGTTTTTCATGATAATATTTTTATTTTTATGTTTAAAATATAATGAGTCATGTTTTTATATTTTAATATTTCTTAAGTTTGTATAATTAATATTATGATTGATTACTTCTATGCATAATCTAATATTACTACTTAGTTTTTAAGATTCTATATATTTTTTATATGTATAGTCATTGATTGTATTTTTTATGTTATATATCATCATTTTTACTAATTGTATTGCTATCTTACCTTGTATGTTTATATGTATATAATTATAAAAATAACTCAACTGTTTATTTTATAATAAATAAATAATTTTGATTCTATTGAAGATAGATTGTTTTAGGTGAAGAATGTCAGGTAATGAGGTGTCCAAGAACATTTAAAATAGAATATTACTCCAAGGATTTCATTTGATTCTTGATGTACATTATAAATATTATTATTTATAAACTTTTAAACAAATAAAAACAATCTTATTCTGGGGAGCAGTAGAATGTGCCTTTGGTACCTACTAATCCTACTATAGTAGATTCAGAATACCAACGAAAACAAAAGAAAAAGTACAATAATAAAATATCTCAAAGCGTATACATGTAATTGTTTGACACATTGTTTTACTATAAATTATAATTAAACTGCGCATGTATAAGAGCTTCAGATTAGCTCAGTTGATTTTTTTTATGTGTTCCTGATTGTTAGGACTAGCTTTGTATAAAAGAAAACTTAAGGAAAATTCACAAGAAAAGGCAAAAATCTCCCATGGATCTTGGTGTGAAAAAAAAAAATTATACAAATCAAATTACATTTTTACGAGCGTTTGAAGTTCATATTTTTATTAGATTGGATATTCAATCGATTTCTTATTTAACGATTGTTATTTTGTTAAAAATTAAGTTTTAATATATAAAAACACTATAAACACGTTTTGGTTGCTATTGGGATTATTAAATATATATTTGTTATTTACTTTATACATATACAATACAATTCCACATTCATAAACCTGAAATAGATTTAACTTTAAACTCTGAGTAAATTAAAATAGTAGGATACAATTTTGCTTTTCAATGTATAATACATTTCAATCAATAAATGAATAGTAGTAGATTTAACATTAATATGTGTAGAGTATTTACATCCCCATACTGAAACACAATACGAGAAAACTGATTGAACAAGAGCTAAATAGATAACTACAAGAGTTATAATATCTACCATACTTTTAAGAATTCGGAAATTATATTATTAGGTATAACTTTCTAAGAAGATTATTAACATAATTCTCAATATTCTAATTTTTTAATTAATAAATTGTGATTAAAGCAGAGAAACGCTTTATTGAAATCCAGAAAAATTCCAAGAACTTTAAATTTTTTATCTAAATCGCTATTAATAAAATTAGAAGTTTGAGTTAAAGGATCAACATTAGACAATATATCTGAGCGAAAACCAAATTGATTAAATGAAAAAAATTCAAGTTTGTCTAAAAGTGGCATTAATCTTGTATGAAATATTTCTCGAGTATTTTTGAAACAGAGCAATAGGTCTATAAGTCTTTCGATCCCTATAATATTTAAACAGTAATATACTATTAATTAATAATCATAGTTTTTTGCATTTGCTCAAAAGTTGTAAGTACCAACAAATAATATTTTAGATTCTGAGTGGAACAATGAATGTATTGATTTTACAATGATGTGTGTTTTTTTATATTTAATTTTTAATTTTATTTGTGTCTGTGTACACGATAAGTAGTCGAAATAATGCTTCGATTTTCAACTTCAGTATCTTATTCTATTGGAAAGTGAATATCGATGGTGCATTGGGTTGCATTGGGTGCATTGCGTTTTTTTGGTTTTTGGTAAATTTAATATTTCCGGTAATTTTCAAAAGCGCCAAGAAAAAAAAAGAAAAATTAATAAAAAACGGGAATTATTACGCTAAATCAATTTTTAACAGAATCGGTTTTTTTTTTTTTTGTGTAACTTTAAAACAAATTAACGTAGATACATGAAATTGTCACTGGTTGTTTATATTTGCATTTTCTATACACTATAATATTTTCTACTAACTGTTTATTGACATTTTCATTTTCCGTTTTTTTAGTTTCTTTCTAAATATATCAATAAAATTTTATTTGTTGAAATTCATAAGAATGTTTCTTTTTAAATCTAAGATTTGGAAATGTAATACAAGATTATTTTTAAGTTTGTCTAACTTTATCAAAAAAAAAAAATATCTTCAAGCAAATCAAATTAAACTTTTATGAGCGTTTGAAGTTCATCATTTTACGATATTTTATAATCATTTGATTTCTCATGAAGAGATTTTGTTATTTTGATGTGATTCAAAAAAAAAAAAACTGTAAAAACATGAAAATTATACTGAATGTTTATATTTTCATTTTCTATACACCAAACAATTTTGAAAATATTTTGACTCTTTTTGAATTTTTTTTAATACCATAGATAAGTATATAATATGTCTTATAACTAGACTGACATAGGTACCGTATCCGCTTAGAATCGATTTTCTTATACAATGGTATTATATCATTGAATTCTAATTTAATACCTTCCATATTACAGTGACCCACTTGTAACCTACTGTACAGCAGAGCAACTTTTTTATTTACAACATTATTACATATTGTAAGTTTAAATATTATGTTAATACGTCAAAATTTAAACTTACAACAAATATAAAAAAGTTAAGTACAACATTTTTTTTTACTTAATGTTTCCCTGGCTCTTGATACTTGGATCGCAGTTTTCCTTTTAACCGGTTTGTTTTTTTTTTGCTACAAATTTTTACATAAAAGATTACATAATACCAAACGGTTTTAAAGTCAAAATTTTAATTATTTAATGTTTCGGGTGCTCTGGTAACTTTACCCTGGCCCCTGGAATTTTTTTTTTATAGTTATATATACACTTTTTATAGTAGAAAAATGCTCTGATCATCAACATTGAAGGAGATTTTTGGGATTAAATTGTATCTAGTTTATACTTTGGGGGAGTTACAAGTTGAAATTTCTCAATAGGTACTACTTATTGAAATAATTGGGGAAAAACCAAATAAATTATGGGACTAGGATGGTAAGCCGACGGCTTACGAACTGAAAACCGACGAGCCGACAACCAATGGGCCGACGTTGGGTATTATTATTGCGATAAATATATTACTATTATATTATGTACCTACCTATATCCTATATCTACCTATATATTTCTAAATTATATCGATATTTATCAAAGCAATTATTTGAGATAGATATCGGACCAGTATACAATATACAACCGAATGTGTTATGCTCTTATGTTATATTGAATCAGTGATGTTTGTGCCTTTGTCGTATTTTATTTTATAATAATGGAGTGTTATTTTTTGAACAACAAACTTGTTATAGAATATGGCTATGTTATGGTTCAAAATAAAGTTAGTGATAATCGGTACAACTGGGAGTGTGAAAAAAGAATCCATAGAAAAACTTTAGAAATAACTGAGAACTCTACTGCCAGATCTACGACTGATTGTTGAGTTTTGGTCAGGAAGTCATAACAACAAATTTGATATACCTCGAACTCAAAACAAGGTAGAATTATGGCTGAAACGTTGGAAAACTTTAATTGGAGCGGGTCATATTGGCTGTTTACATATTGTTTCAGAAATGAAAAAGAACAAAAGAATACAATGGGTCGAATATTGTTTAGACGAAAATAAATTGTAATTAATTTAAGCCACTTTTGACCCCCTCATAACTCAAAACCTATTCCACATAAACATGTCAAATTTGGCTCATATATTGAGACTTATGAGATACATATGTGCTACAAATTTCATAAACACATCTCAAACTGTTATTTAAACATTAACGTCCCAAAATCATAATTTTTATCGCTGACTGACTGACCTATGGATCAAAATTCTAACCCAGTTCTAGATGACCTAGAAAATTCAAATTTGGCATACAGATAGGTAGTTGGTTAATACAAAGGAAAAAAATCAGAAACTTGTACATTTTTTAATTAATAGATTTTATTATAATTTTTCAATTAATTAATTAATGCCTCTAATTTAATGTAATATAATGTAATGTTGACTTATATAGCTCCACTAACCCTTCCCGTATCGCCTCGCCAAAAATACGCCCAGTCGAATATGTATCGATATTGCCATATTGGAGACTCGCCCGCAGCAACATACTTTTTTTTTCTATGTATGTAATAAATATAAATTTAAAAAAAAATTACAATTAAAATAATTAAATAATTTATCTTACGATTATGAATTACCCAGACCACCAGAAGAAATTATAGTAAATAAAATGATGATAATTAAAAATATACTCAAAAAGAGATAAAATAATTTTATGTGAATTTTATATTTTATCTCTTTTTGAGTATATTTTTAATTATCATCATTTTATTTAATACAGGAAATTCTAATATAAACATTCAGTGAAATTTTCATGTATCTACAGTTATACGTTTTTGAATTACAACAAAATAAGGAAATCGCTACATGAGAAATCGAGTGAATATCCAAGGTTGTAAAAATTTGAATTTCAAACGCTCATAAAAATTGAATTTGACTTTCTTATAGACATTTTTTTTTTTGATAAAGGTAGATAATCTTATATTACATTTTCAAATATTAGATTTAAAAAGAAAAATTTTTACGAATTCTTAACTCAAAATGATTTGCTAATTTTCGTGATTTTTCCATATTTGATGTACGCAATTACACTAATGTCTAATAGTCAAAGTTCATAGTTAGCTTAAAATAAATTCAAATATTTTGATTGTGTCATTGTGATAGTTTTCAAATTTTCGTGGTTTTGTTGAATTTTGTCAAAATTTGAACTTCACAACAGTTATAAAAATAAATGTGTATATATATTTTTAATATTTTTAATTTTAAAATCACAACTTATGTTGGATCTTGTATTATATTTCTGAACT